TCTGACCGGTTCTATGCATTCTCCGTTCCAACGCTTCAGAGCAGGAAGCAATAAGGTTATAGATGAGCTTCGTTCCGGTCAGCCGATTGCGACATTATGAAGTCTCCGGGGTTGTTATGGAAGTTAAAATGTGCTTCGATGGTATTTCCATGGGAACTTCTGGGGCTCCAGGACAAATAGATTTTTGTCAAACTTTTGGCGGATTTTCCGGACACTTCCTGTAGTTTGAAATAATGATCAGTTGTGGCATCAGCAGAGACGAGGTTTCAAAATAGTTTAATAATAAATAGAAATAATCACAGAAATTCGAATGTTAAGTTCACAGAACTCATCAATGAAGGTGCGAGTGTATCAGGCAGGGTGAAACTACTATTGTCAAAATAAGTGAAAAAAACTAGTGAAAAAAGTAGCACCACCGGAATTCACGAACTACTCAACTTCAATATCGTTCAGAAAAATCCAAGAAATTTTCGTATTCCTCTTCTAATAGAACCTAAACGAACGGCACTGCTCTTCTGCCTTCTGGCAGCACTTTGTGTAAGACAGAGTTTATCGGCCAGTTTCTGGCAACTGGATGGAGAAATGTCGTTGATTGCTCGTAGACGACGTTCAATTAGTGTTTCTGAAAATTCGAGTATAAACGATACAAGGTGGGAGTATTGCTTAGATGATTTGAGGCATGTTCTCATTTTCTGCTCAATAAGTAGGTGGTTTTGGTAGCAACTTCTAACTCTCTGACTATAGCTTCCATGTTTGGATCCATCCCGAAGCAAAATGTGAAGACTATTGAAGGTGATATGGCGGGCATCTCCTCTACATGGCTCGGATCACGGAATAGTTGAACTGGTGTTCCTCTTTCCTCTAACACCTTTTAAAATGTCGTCTAACTTGGATGTAACAACCTGATATTATGGTAGGGGAAAGGGCCAAGGTGATGAGAATCATCGTCAAAACATAACAGGCTGCTCCGTCTTCCATTCATTCAACTCTTTGAAAACATGTCGTGTTCTTGGAGTGTCTTCGGGGGGACTTGTTAGGGAGGAAATCTGGCCATCAAGGCACTAGGCTAGGTGGGCGCAGAGCTCAACTTGTGGTGATTTGATTAGGAGCGTAATCTCCTGGAGCTGCCTTCAACCTCCACCTAGTCTTTCCGACAAAAACCGAAGGCACCAAAACCATTCAGAGAGTCGCCTAGCGATCGTCAACTGTATGGGTTTCATCGATAAAAGATGGAAGAGTAGAAAAGTGGACTAGAACTTGTGACTACTATCTTGAAACAGTAATAGGGTTTATCTCGAAGTCAGGGTCAATTTTCTGTTCCAAGGTGTGTTGAGTATCTGACCGCATGAAATTTTGGGATAACATTTTCTTGGTTTTCTTAAATTCCCACCTATTTTGGATTTGGTTTCCGATTAACGGCCCAATAAACAAGGAATTTCTCTAGGTTCGCTTCAGGTCACTTCGATGGCAATAAAGTTTTTGTATATGTGGGATAAGCTATACGATAATGCATGAAACCCGTTTCCCAATCAAACAGCACTGTTTCACGCAGGTTCATGGGACGGGCAACTCCGGGGCGAAGTAGTCAAGTGCGGCCACCACGAAATTAAAGCTGCACTGTCAAACATTCGCAGGAAAATTAACCTTCGGTCTGTCGTATTATGAAAGTGTAGACCGATTACACAACAACTTGTATGCTTGCGTCATGTGACTTTAGGGTAAAATCCCCATGTTCTCACTGATAATTGGGCACCAATTCCAATACAATACCCTCTACTACACATTCCCAGACTTCACACCCTACTTTATCAGTTAACCTCCCAGTAGGCGTTGTTCACAGAGTCTCAAATCAATATCACCAAATCACCACCCACCGAATATCTGTGCATTCTTCTTGAAGTCTTCATTGGGTTTCGACAGATCGAGCCCTGTTCGCAGCCTCAGAATTTTCTCAATTTTCCTCTGAAAAGCTGCAGTTCGTTCCTTTCCGTCGGGTTCAGCTTGCAATTCTTCAATAGCGACAATGATGAGACGGCCTGAACTCTTTCATTTTATTTATTCTTTGGGCTCACTGAAAACTCCATGTCTTGACTTACCATATAATTCGATCGCTTCATTATCTTTCATCTTACGAAGGCTCTCGAATTCAGTCCTCAGTCCGTTTGATTTTTCGATATCCCGTAACTCTTCTTCTCTACACTCCACACAGGGTCTTCTGTGGGAAATTGTTTTCTTGAAGGTTGCTGGCAGATGGGGCGTTGCATGGCCTTCTTGGCAACCGCGATAGGGGCGAGCTGAAAGGGAAGTGTTGAGTATTCTAGTCACGTGTTGCTTCGAAATCGTTTCTATCAATTGTTAAAATCCTTCTGTTCAAGGGCCCCGACTCCACCGTTAAAGCTGATGGAATCCGCTGATGCCACAGGCGAATGTCAGTAGCGAAACGATGACTGTTTCTATCAGTACATCATCAGTTATCAGTGCAAGAAACGACAGCGACATACCTCCATTGACGACTGTTCTCACAGAAAGTGTGCTCAGGTTGTGACTGTCGAATCGTCGAAGTTTCCTTTTCAATCGCCTCAAGTTCATGACTTCTTCAGGCCTTCGGATTTTGATATCTTGTGCACTCTCCGTAGCTAATGCAGGATATGTATAATCGTGATCTTCTTTCTGTTCTTGGAAAGGTAATAGGTTATAGTAGGTGTGGTCTTCGAAATTTGCCGATTGGGTACGATTAAGGAGCTGCACGTGATCAACAAATCCCGAATCTCTGCAAGATCTCCATGATTCTAGAGTGGCTTTCGGAGATTCAGCTTTTTCAGTGATGATTAATTTGGTCGGAGTGTTTTTCACTCGGCAGTATACATAGGCGTCATCCTCACTTATTGAGTATTCATCATCAGACCATGTGAATGAGGAATCCCGTGAATCAGCTGTCATTATCTGAAATATACACGCATTACACATGAGCTATGAGGATGCGATATGACAGGGGAAGGGCTGAGGGGGTAAGATGAACATGGCATCAAAAATGATTTACGGAAAAATCGCATCGCAGTCGGAGAACAGATCGGTTTTCGAGTAATACAAGTGCTGTTAGTTAGAATTCAGTTTAGGTGCCAAAACTGTATAATATTGCGAAGAGTTGAGGTGCCTTCGCTTCGCCATATCACCCCTCGAGAAGAAATTTTTCCCTTTCAGCACCAGTCAGGGATAAACTATTTTCGATATAATAGTTCATTAGCCCGAGTACAAAAAGGTGGTGTTCTTTTTGATTCTAAAAGCTCCACTTAAAATTTTTGGCTGAGGAATTGAACCAGAGCAGGAATCCCACGTCTTCTGTATCTATAAGGACCACGATCAGCACGATCCCTTGACGCCAAATATCACTGAATTTCTAATTTCATGTCTGCTCCGAAGACGAGCGTTCTGAACGGCTCAGTGAGGGGTTCAATCTGGTGCTAATCACCTTCGAGCAGAGAATCAGGGCATAATCCTTCACTGTTTCATCGTTGGTGCGTCAGAATTCTAACATTCGAACAATGGAAGATAGACAAGGTGCTATGGATTCTCCTAGGGGGTCATTTACTCATACCCGCGAAATCCTTCATCGGTCATCATAATGATTGAAGATAGACCTGAGGGTAAATTATAGTAATGACGTTAAATAGGATTATAGCCAACCGATCTGGCCTAAACCTCCAAAGTTGATTTCACTCAGCCTAACACTTTATACAACTTTACGACGTCCCTATAAGACACGGTTATATGACGGCGGTCCCTAGCTCTTAGAACCTTGAAAACAGTGGTGAATATCAGAGCCATAATGTTTCCCAAGAGATGATTTATCAAATTTTTGGTAGAACACATCCGTACATTACGAAAACATCGAAAAGTCCAATTGAAGGGATAGACCGATTCGACCGATAGCAGATTTGGAAAAGGGCTACTGGAAACCTTTCTTTGTTTGATAGTAATCAGCTTTTGATAACTCAGGGCATAGTGCTACCATCTAGTCCAGTGGGGTAAGTGAAAGAAGCACCGATTTTCCGGACCAGGTTTCTATCACAGAAAGGCACAATTACTTCGTAAAACTCAACAACAATAAAGAATGGCTGAGGTTTTTTGACGAAATGGCATAAAGTCTACTGGCTACGCAGGCTAAGCATTCAAAAGTTACAAGAAAAATTACTTCCGCGATTGCCGAATTCAAATTCAAGCAATAGAGAAAAAAGCTGAGATCCTATCTGGGGAAGCACTGCTGGCTCATGAAATCACGGAAGCCTGCGTTTAGTTGCCAAATCGTCCCGTTCGTTTGAGAGAAATTGGAATACGTAGTTTGAAAAAACATAAGATCTACGGCTCACTCCACACTCCTTACTATTTGTTGACTTTTTTTGAGGTTTGTTGTCCAAGAAATGACTCATGATAACAATCCATATAACAATTAATTACAGTTGAAAAATGTGGCAAAGAAATAATATGGGAAAATGATCATAAGGATAGATTCCCACAAACAGAGCAGCTGTGCGAGTTCACAGATGTGAGACTGCTGGGAAAGTGTCTGGTGCTTTTATTTGGGGTCGACCGATTATGGTGTGTGATAGGGGGGCTGAGGTAGCCGGAACGTCGATCGTTAGCGCCCGACGAGAGGTGCGAATTAGGTAGTTCCAGGATCCGCGGGATATCTATGGCTGTCCTATAAAGAACAGTGAAAATGCGGGATCAATTGAGGCACGCGACTTGTGATCGGCAAGTCCTCTCCGATCTTCCTCATAGATAAGGATGTGATAGTACACTGAGGAAGGCTTATAAACTTCTTCTTTTGTGGTAATTTTTACTGGTTGAGTCCAAGCAAAGTACTCCTCATCGCCCAGTTGAGATGATCGGTCGAGTTGGTGGTGCACCTTTGTTGAGCATAATGCCTACGAAGACTTGCAGTCGAGGAAATACGTTGATGAGCTAACACTTCTTTCAAATGCGGGATCAATAGTGGCAAAACAATTCGACAGAAGCAATCGAGAAACTCCGCGCAAATGGCTCGTATTTAGATGTTTACAAACGTTTGGAGGCATATTCTAGCCACGTTTTTGGTCAGATAAAGCCCTTGCTTGTGCTTTTGAAAATAATCAGCCTATTCAATATGAGGTATTCTGTTAAAGATCATACTTACTCAGAAGATACTGCTACACCTGCTATAATGTGGAGCAAACACTTTCAGACAGAGTCATCTTTTTTGAAAACATAAGGTACAGAAGACAGTAGATCTTCTGATTAAAACCGTAAAGACTGTTTCCTCGCCCTTCCTCTATTTTTATCACTTCCTATATTAGATCACAAGACTTAGCCTACTGTATCATATTTAATTCGTCAGGTGCTTGTTAGTATGTGTAAGTATAGTATGTATAGTATGTGTGTTGGGTATGTTTGTATTTATATACGTATGTATGTATGTACATGTGTATGTATGTAGGACCCAATAAATGAGATGAATTGAGCTCGTGATGATTCTCCCTTTTCTCTATAGCCTTATTCTCACTCATTGGCAGGGTCAGTTGTCCTCATAAGTTGTCACCCCTTCGTTCCATGTACGGCTCCTTCTGCCTGCGCTGATCATTGATATTTATTCAGGAGCAACTGATAGCGCTTACTTATTCAAGGGCGTGAGCATAAACAAATATTGAGTACCATTTGCATTTCCTGTCGTCCATTGTTCAGGTATGGAGGGTGCGGTGCACTGCACCAGCAGGCTCTTTGAATACTCACTGCATACTTTCTGAAGATTGAAAAGAAGCAGAGCTCGGTTTCATATGAATCATCCTGCTCATCTTTTTTGATGAAGGAAAATTAGTATATCTAGACGAGGAGGTGTCGTGTCGTGGAGCCGCAAGCGGCTCACTATCACACACGGATGGCGAGAATATCCACTATGTATCGGGGGTCGATGAACCTTTACCAGACTCGTCTGAAGAATAAAAGTTCCGATTAATCTATCGGCTGGCTACTCAAGTGATGGCACAAGCCATAAATGCATTTAAGAAAGTCACTTCGAGTCTGAATAATAGTCGAATGTGGAGGCGCTTTCCATAAACGGGCTGAATCAACACTAGAAGATATTGTCCTTCATCTATCTGCTGGATATGCTAAACCCATTGCCACTGCTATTCCTGCTGCGTGCCTCCAAAGCAGTCTCCTGTCACGGTACTGCCTCGAATTATTTCTCTGTAGAGAGTGTCTCGCAGTCAGTCAGTAGCTTCTGTAAGTTCCTGTATGTTGTGTACATCTGCCGCTAAATGAATGCCTGTGGGGACAAATGAAAACAAAAGGATTTATTGAGTATCATTGAGTTTATTCGCATATACAGATACATATGTTTAAAGCTCTCCAAAAAATCAGTTTCTCCCATCTTCCGATGATTATCGGCAGACACCCCCACGGCAGAAGGATCCGCGTTTGCAGTCGACACTGTTTTGGCATCTTTTGATGCTGTTAGCGACCGGAAACTGAAATTCAAAGGGGGTAATGAGCCATGTATTAGAAGGTGTAGACTAGGTGAAATTCTAAAATACCGAGAGGTTGACTCGGATCACTGGCGGTGGGCAGTTGTGAACTCCAGGAGGACAACAATTAGCGCAACGAGATGGAGTTGCTAAGCTGAAATGGGAAAGAATAATGGCAGTGAGTAAAAGGTGGCTGAATTGCTGTGATTCGAGACAGTTATTTGTCACGTGGGTGAAACGTACTCATTGAGGTACGATAGATAAGTTCCCAATGAGTGGATGAATCAGAGAACCCCAGCATCATGAAAAACTCACATGTTCTCTGGCTGCCGCCCAATGTACTGAGTCGTGGTAGTCGACCCTACGGTGCTAGTAGTCTCCTTAAAAGACATAGTCACAAAATCAGTGAGGTATAGCAACGATCAATCGGGTTGATGTCGTACCGTAGTCGTTGATGATGTTGTCATAGGTGTCACAACAGTAGGAATATCAACGGTGGTCGGAGCAACGGTAGATGTTGTGGTGGTGGCTGTAGTGGTGGTGGGTTGAACAGTAGTAGTAGTTGGCTCATCTGCAAGAGATGTGGGGACAGTAGTTGTGGTGGTGCTGGAGCCGATTGTTGTTGGAGAAACGGTTGGAGTCGTGGAGCTCTCTGGCACCAAAGGAACCTGAAACGAAAGGTGTTTAGGAGGAGGTGCTCAGTAGAAAAAAGTCGTCAGTCAGGAAGCCCTGATTGATTATGTTACTGTTTCGAACAACTTTGCTAGTGAAACAAACTAAGTTTTTCTCTGATTCATCGATAAACGCCCTGCAGTTTCATGGACACCGAAGAGAAATGTACAAAAGTTTTTTTCTACTATCGGTCGATCTCACATTCATTGAGAATCATATGGTATTCGAATGAGTATTTGCCAATACAATAAATCGTCGAGCTAATGGGCAAGACAACGCTTTCATCCTCCCGGACGAGTCTGGCACCAAATAACGACCCCGAGAGATGAAATGCTTGGTTTGTCCGAGTGTCGATCCCCTCACTCTACGTGTAATATAGCTCCGTTGGCGCTACACCAACCCCTCCACTCGCAAAGGATAGTGATTGTCCAAAAAGAGCACAGTAACATATGCGTGCCGTTGTATTCAGAGAAGGTGTTGAGCTTTTCATGAAAATCTTTCAGCAGAATTATAATCAGGTGCGAGGTCTTTGCTCAGTAACGAGTTTCTGCAGCAGTTCAATATTTAAGGGATGAAGTTGGAAATGACAGTGCCAGACTGATAAGTAGAGAAAACAAACCTCAATCTTCTGGCACTGTCCGTTGACGGGCTCTTCACCACGGCGACATACGCATACATTCTAAAAAGAACTTTTCTCTTGAAATCAAATGATAAATCCGTTAAGTACGAACATTTTCGCAAACACTGCCTCCCACGCAGACTATGTCAGGAATTCGGCAGAATTCTCCAGGATAGGCGATTGAAGGCTGCTGGTCATAAAGCCTACAGAAAGACATTTCTCAACACGGCCTTCTAGTCAGAACGCATTCATAACAGACCTTGGTTGAGTGGTTGTGGTGGGTGGTTCACGTGTTGAGATAGAACCATCAGTCGTTGGGTAAGTTACTATAAGAGCATAGTTGCATGATATTCGGAGCACACAACATAACAAATACACCCTTTCCTCCCTTTGAAACATTTCTAACATACCTGGAGGTTGTTCCGGCTGTGCTGGGGGTATGTCTGGTTGCAGATAGGGTGGATAGTAACCTGGTTGTGGTTGTGGTTGTGGATTTGGATGTGGATGTGGCATTGACGGTTGAGGTACTGGGTAAGCAGGCTAAATTTGTATAAACATTATGAAAGCGAAGTGTCCAGAAGTGGTGAAAGGAAGGAGCCAATTGAGAAAAGTTAGCATAAATAAGTAAATCAAAATCCATAGAAGCAAAATAAGTTTCTGTTGCGGAAATTCGCAATAATCATAATTTCTTCTACTGGAACTAAAGGATCTTAAGAGACGGAGTGTATCAAGGATTCCCTCGAAAGAATACATAACGAAGACGTAAACAATCTATAGACACGAAAGCGACTGTAGGGATTTCAGACTGTATGGAAGGCCAGTATTGAAAAACTGTACACTGTATCTAAGGCAGAGCACACTTGAGAAGAAATCATGCCTATATCTCTCTATTTACGCCCTATCCACGGACAGTTACTGAGAACCTTCAATGTACTGATCAATGTCAGATGTTGTGGGCAGTAGGTTTGATGAGTGAACGAGATTGAAGATTCGTTTCTATTGAAGCATCCTTCTTCTGCCATTACTGGATGCCATGAAAGGAGGTAGGTTGCCAGGTTGCTACAGGTTGCCTACGAGTAATTGCCATCCATCAAAGTTTCGTTCTTCTTCTATCGAGCACTCCCTTCCAACGCTACATAGAGATGCTTTTTTGCAATAAACCATTGATGCTTAAAAGAGAAAGAATCCCTGCTTAATTGCACCGGCAAGGCCCATGTCTATAAAATCATTTCATTTTAGTTACAATCCCTTCGTATTTGTGTCTATTCTGGCATTTTTGAATAAAAAGGCCTCTCAGAGACATCTCGTATAAAGTTATGATTTATGAAAACATTTTTGAAACCTCTTAGAAGTTGTATGTAGTGCTGTTGGTATAAATTGCCCCACGATTTTACTGTGAGGTATCAGTTGTAACGAGATCACCTGTATCACCTGTACTCCCGTTGATCGTCGATTTCCTCGAGCGGGCGCCAGTAACGTCTCCATTCGTCCCTGTCGCGAGCCAGAGTAGTCCAGTAAATCGCACTCGCTCGAGGGACACGGGGCAAGACATTCCCTTCGCTCAGAGCTTTCGTGAAGAAGTCTGACCATCTCGTTGGCGGCCGTCCTGGTGTTCGCTTGACGTCCCGAGAG